ACAGACTGATTTGACTGATAAGGGATTATAAAAAATATGTTTATACTAGAAGCGTGGACAATCAATACATCCTCTTCAAATCTACTCCAAGGAAAAAAATAGTTAACGCAGACTATTTTTACGATGCTTCATTTAATAAATATTGAAATAATTCACGAGGTTATTATCAATCACGTGTTTACGTAATGTTAGACGCGAGATCAACATGAAAGTGAGCCGGAAAAAAACATGCTATACGTTTACGCATAGGCGATTTGAAAAAACCTTACAGAACTTACATGGAACGGAGCTTAAATTGAACAACTACATTTTCGTAATAGTATGGGGAAACGCACCGAGATGTCGAAACGTAATGTCGTAAGTTGATCGGCGATTCTCTGGCATAGGAATTTGGCTACACTTTTTTTAACGGTTACCTATTTAATAATATTTTCCACATAAACTCACATAACAACACATTATGTATCTTTTATTAATGTTTGACATAAATATATTTGTTGACCGTCATTTGTCTTAATTAGAGTTACGTGTACCAAGGGAAATAATCCAAAATGGCGATCTCCCAGAATCGTCGATCTTTTCCTGAAAAAAAACTTGAAATTTTCTATACCTGTGTATTTTACGCACCCCCCACTTTGGGTATTAAATTTCTGGAAAAAAAGGGTATCACACTTCTCCTTTTACTAGTATTAAATCTACCGAGTCTGTGTCCAATGTCTATGTCCTAACTGTGAAGTGGCACTTTCAATATGGATTTGACAAACTTCACAACTTTTTCCACACATTCTTCAGCTGTCTAGTTTTCCTTGGTGTCTTCAAATCCAAAAACCCTAATTGAATTTTTCCTGCCCTGTTGTTCAAGGTCATTGTACTGCACATTCCCTCTTGCTTTGCTCTTTATTAGAGTTCCAACATCTGGTTCTCAAGGTTACCGACACTTTCTCTAAGACTCTTTGTTGGAGTTCCGACATCTGGTTCTTAAGGTAACCGTCGCTTTCTCTAAGGCTCTTTATTGGAGTTCCAACATCTGGTTCTCAAGGTAACCGACGTTTTCTCTAAGGCTCTTTGTTGGAGTTCCGACATCTGGTTCTTAAGGTAACCGTCGCTTTCTCTAAGGCTCTTTATTGGAGTTCCGACATCTGGTTCTCGAGGTAACCGACGCTTCCTCTAAGGCTCTTTGTTGGAGTTCTGACATCTGGTTCTCGAGGTAACCGACACTTCCTCTAAGGCTCTTTGTTGGAGTTGCAACATCTGGTTCACGAGGTAACCGACGCTTTCTCTAAGGCTCTTTGTTGGAGTTGCAACATCTGGTTCTCGAGGTAACCGACGCTTCCTCTAAGGCTCTCGTTTTCTTCTTCTAAAGCTATAATTCTGCCCAACATCTTCTTTAAGCTCATCTTTGAGAATTGTCAGTTTCTTATCCATGTCCGTCCTAGTGACCAAAATGGATAGTATTTTGGTAATTTCCTCAAGTCGTTGACTTATAGCTTGATCACTGTTTTTTCCCTATGATGTCGAAGCTCTAGTTGGTCCACCCATAATAAACGATCTCAATTTTTTCTTAGGTCTCGGAGAAATATCCAATGTATACGTACACCTATACACAAGTATGCACAGGTAAATCACAGGTAAGTATACAAGTGTGTCCGTTAGCAGTTGTCAACCCGGTTAGCACTATGCCATTGAGTATCTTTCAAAGTCCAAAACACTCCTGGGACCTAGAACATCATATTTTTTTCATTCTGTAGGTGAATTTAACTATCACACTTCTCCTTTTACTGGTATTAAATCTACCGAGTCTGTGCCCAATGTCTATGTCCTAACTGTGAAGTGGCACTTTCAACATGAATTTGACCAACTTCACAACTTTTTCCACACATTCTTCAGCTGTCTAGTTTTCCTTGGTGTCTTCAAATCCAAAAACCCTAATTGAATTTTTCCTGCCCTGTTGTTCAAGGTCATTGTACTGCACATTCCCTCTTGCTTTATTGGAGTTCCGACATCTGGTTCTCAAGGTAACCAACGCTTTCTCTAAGGCTCTTTGTTGGAGTTCCGACATCTGGTTCTCAAGGTAACTGACGCTTTCTTTAGGCTCCTTGTTGGACCTCCGACATCTAGTTCTCAGGTAACCAACACTTTCTCTTAGGCTCTTTGTTGGAGTTCCGACATCTGGTACTCAAGGTTACCGACCCTTTCTCTAAGACTCTTTGTTGGAGTTACGTGATCTGGATCTCAAGTTAGCCGCCGCTATCTCTAAGACTCTTTGTTGGAGTTGCAACAGCTGGTTCTCGAGGTAACCAACGTTTTCTCTAAGACTCTTTGTTGGAGTTACGTGATCTGGATCTCAAGTTAGCCGCCGCTATCTCTAAGACTCTTTGTTGGAGTTGCAACAGCTGGTTCTCGAGGTAATTGACGCTTTCTCTAACATCTGGTTCTCAAGTAACCGACGCTTTCTCTAAGTCTCTTTGTTGGAGTTACGTGATCTGGATCTCAAGTTAGCCGCCGCTATCTCTAAGACTCTTTGTTGGAGTTCCAACATCTGGTTCTCAAGGTAACAGACGCCTTCTCTAAGTCGGTTTGTTGAAGTTCCGACGTCTGGTTCTCGAGGTAATTGACGCTTTCTCTAAGTCTCTTTGTTGGAGTTTGAGGTCCGACATCTGGTTCTGGAGGTAACCGACGCTTTCACTAAGGCTCTTTATTGGAGTTCCAACATCTGGGTCTCAAGGTAACTGACGCTTTCTTTAAGCCTCTTTGTTGA